CCCCCCCCCCCCCCCCCCCCCCCCCCCCCGTACTGGAGCACCAACGTCTTCTCTGAATAAGAAGAGATCTAAGAGAGATGTTACCTTCAGTACCAGTCGGGCAGGGGGGGACTGGCCCATCGTACCCAGGGCGTTATAAGGCACACAGGTATAAGTGCCGAGAGCTTCCTCCGTTGCCTCCTCTATTCGGATTGATCCATCTTCCATCACGTTCCACCCAGAATACTGCAAGGGCAAGAGAGACGGAGTAGTTTGGGAGCATCCTGAGTGCCAGAACCTTAACTAAAAGTTGTCTGAAGTGTTTTGGCTCCTGTGCTATTCCGTTCTCAAGTTTATGCATGATAATAAGGCCCTGCACAAGCAGCACTAAAAACTATTGAGTGGGTCTCTAAGACACCTCCTTCCCTTTACTAATATGTCACCTTGGAAACATCTCCAGATGCAGTATAGCATTTAAACTGCAGCCCCATCTCATGGGACCCCGTCTGGAGATCGAGCTATATAGCACTTCCATGGTCACAAACTGGGATCTCTGCTCTTGCCAACCTTCTATCATTCCAGGACCTTTCCATTTTAACTCCCTGAATATGCTACTAGATTATGAAAAAGCACTACCAAGATGTCACCCAAATGAGTATAATGGCACCATCTGACCTTAAAGGATAGTTACAAATCAACCATGTTCCTCCCTAAGACTGGCATAAAACAAGCTGGCTCAACAAATTTCTTTGTTAAACCTTCAGAAGCCAATACTTAGCAAGGAACATCCAGAGGGCTGTTCTCTGTGCTATGAAGCATTCAAGATCACCTTTATTCCTATAGCTTTATTCCTCCAGGGCACTGAGGCCAGAGTAGACTACTTGGTCAGATGATTAATTTTATATTCAGAAAAAAACTCATTTCAGAGATAGAAATACCATATTTACTTAAATACAAGTCAAGGTTTTTTTCCTCCCAATCAGCATAGGGACAAAAGCCATTCATCTTATATTCCCAAACAAGGAAACTGCATTGAACGCACTGCCTGTCCAAACTGCTGTCAAGAGCAGCATGTGCTCAGTAAGAAAAACCAGCTATGAAGCCGATTAAATGCAGCCAACACTGAGCATGACTACAAAACACATGGCCCACGTTGGGTAAACCTGGCCTTAAAAAAACAAAACCATCAACAAATGGGTGGGTGTTTCTTCCACTGGGATCTGGCACCAGGTCTGGAGATGCCACAACACCAGTCCAGCACTGGGAGGGCCAGAGCTAGCCCTGACATCCTCCCTTTGCTGCCAAAAATGCTTGATACATTATATCATACATATTCCCATCACAACAACCACAGCACACACCCACATGACCATCAGTCATAAAGACATACAACCTTTCCCTACATCCTAAACTTAGCCTCTCTCAGTCTGCTTCCCTACTCCTCCTTCCCCTAGCTCTTCTATTTCTTTTCCAGATAGATAAAGTAGTTCAAACCAACTGAATAAAATACATAATAGTGGCCAGAGTGCAGTCCCCCCTCAGAGCCTACTACATTTCAAGTCATGGTGAGCCACTACATTGCATGAATTTCAACTCCCTCTTCATTCCCATAGCTGAGCTGTTACTTTCTTTCCTATTTCCAATGGCTCTTGTTTCATCACCAGCCTTAAGTATTTGGCAAATATCACCAAACAGGGCCCCAAACAGCTCACCCAGAATCCCTCTGTCAGCCCCTCTCTTAGCCTGCTACATAGGCTTAGTATGGCTCTGCACTCCATCAGGTAAAGCCAAATCAGGTTCCCCTATGTCATCTGCATATCAATTTTTGGAGGATCCATGGACTAGTGACAATAACACCTGCTGCCAATCATGAGTGGGGACTAAACAGCACCTGGCCCCTTTGTGGGTGGGGTGGGGCTGGAAGGGAATCTGGAATACACACATATACTGAGCAATGCTGAGCTGTAGGGTCAGTGTGGCTGGAAATGCTGTTGATTCTGCTCAATGGCTCTCCCAGTTAACTATATGGTAAATCATAAGCTGTTTCCCTTTGGACTAATATCATGTATAGTTGTACTACATATAAAGTAGGTGCCCAAGTGCTGCTTAAAAGTATTTTTATGAAGTACCAGTGCTAAAACTTGCAAGTTTCAAAAAAGGTAAAACGCATCAGTTCTGGATCAATTAAATCTATGGGTACTGTATGCAAATCACTGCAGGTGTGTTTATTTCAATGTCAGTATTTTCAAATTTCCTCCTCACTTCCATGTGCTTAGGGAGAGTAGGGTCCGATAGTATGGAAGGGGGGGGAAGGGCTGCAGGTGGAAAAACACTGGAGAGGTTAGAGGGAAAAGGGGCTATCAGACCCCCCCCAATTTATTTTCCCTACTGTAGGGGGGGGTACACATTTCAGACAACCCTCTGATAATCATTCTATACTTGGAAAACCACACAAATTTATAAATTTTCCATGTATAGAGTCTGATTATTGGGGGGAGGGGCATCTTATAATCAGTGTTGTCTTATAGTTGAGTAAATATGGTACCTACTGTACCATATTTACAGAGCCCAAGTGAAGGATTGGCAGAATCCCCAGTAAATAGCCTTTCTTTCTCCAATCTATTATGCCAAGCAAGAGAGCTGCCAGCACCTTCACTGCTCCATACAAATTTATCTCGGTATCTATAAGTTCCTCCCCCTTAGGACACGGACAGACAAAACGATTATACTGACTTAAAGGGGCACTTTATTCTCTGCTGATCCACAGTAATATTTTGTGTGGCTGCTCTGTCCTGCAATAGCCAGAAGCCAAAATGTGGTAATCCACCCCAAATGAAATGGGTAAGTTATGGTAGCTCAGCTTCTACATCCTCACCGGACTGTGGAAGACGTGCAAAACAGGTACTGTGCATCAGCTGGTATATGGGGCATTAGCTTCCTTCAACTTAGAATAATTTAGTCCGTCCACACTTAAAGCGTTTCACCCCTGCAGCCATGGTGCTTGCTCTCTCGACTTTCCCCAATGGTCCGCACATTTCTGAGTCAGCACCCTAGTAGAGTTTGAATCCAACATGACAGCTGCCAGAAACCATCTCAGCAACTGTGTTACAACCAAAAGGCAGGGGAGCGCTTTATTAAACTAACCCTCTACTGGAACATCAACAGATAAGTAACCAGGCACCAGAATATGGGAAGAGGCAGGAGCTGACAAGGATACAACTAGAGATGATTTGTACTGTGTTTACTTGGTGACAGCTGGCACCAAAATGATTAAGCCCATCACTATGCTACCAGTGGTGAGTTAATATCAAGGTTCAGCTCTTCAAAAACAGTACAGAAGATTCAGACACAGTGTTGATAATTGAAAAGGCATGCACCTCAATCCCTTGCACCAGTTTGAAAGGGTTTATCATATTGCATTTTAAAGTTGGGTGTGCTTCACTCTGTCTTACTGGGCTAGATCTTAGCTTAGGTGTAATTTTCTGTTGTTTGTTATATGCTTGAAGTTGCTCAATGAATGCTCTCTTCAAAGAATGGACTATTCTTGTTCAAGCATTTGTGAATTCAGTGCCACTGCCTGAAGTCTAATATTAAATCTGGTAACCAACTCACTCCCAGAGCATCCCAGGATGCTTTGCTCCTCCCCCCCCCCCGAACTTCCCCTCGCAGGTTGGGATGGCTAGCCTTGCCCCAAACAGTCTGCTCCAGCCAAGCAGGAAGGCATGCTTTTCGCTTTGAGCCTGGACTGCTGCAGGCACGTACCTGCATTTCTGGAATCAAAAGTGAACGTCCGTTCACTTGTTTAATCAGTTCAGTCTACACAGCTTAAGCAAACCTGTGAAGATCGAATTGATTCAGCCTCAGGCTTTTTGACTGTCTGCTGCATTTATAGTGATACCAATGCTGTGTTTAGGAGGTTCAGACACTGCATGGGTAGAAGCCATGAGCTCCATACTAGGACCCAGGATAAGTTAACTTAGCACAGAGTCCTTTGATCTAAGTCCAAGTTTAATTGCCACACACAGTCGAGTCTTTTTTTCTTTTTCTTTTTTCTTGGTGAGAATGCTGGATTCTGCAAAGAGCTGCAGCATGTGCTCAACAATATTTGCAAAAAAAAAAGACAGGGTGTGTCAGTTGAAAATCCCCACAAAAACTAGAATACCCACCCCTTCAATCAATGCAGTCTTTTTATTTTTCAGGGGCATGAGGTTTATTGCTAGGCAAAAACCAAACAATGAATTCACATACTTTCTAGGGAGTCAAGCACACACCTTTCCCAGTTATGCTCCTTCCCTATGCTTCTCCTTTTCAGGTTTGCTTCCTTCAGTTAACACACTTTTGTCACCATTTGCCCCCGTTTTGAAGAACTGCTTTCCTTTACAGCCTCCATGATCTTCCACGCCCCCTCTCCCACTCATTTTCAGCACTTCTCCCTTACTTAATTTCATTACGTTCAGGGTTCTCTTTCAGTGAGATTTGCTCTGCTATACAAGATCAGTATTTTCCTTTAACAGTGAAGGGAATACTATTGAAGGAAGGTGGTCCCAAAGTTTATGGAGGAGGTGGCATTTCATTGGGATGACTCTTTAGGAATCCGAGTCATGGCACCTTAGAGCTTGAACGCTTAAAACTGACCCTGCAAAGCACTTGCGTCTCTTCTTAGTTTTCTGCAAATCTGTCCTGTTGACTTCACTGAGATGGGCTCATGTGCTTGAAGTTAAGCTTGAGGCACTAGGGTACTCTGGTGGATCAGGGCTGGAGTACCCTGTCCCTTCAATTCAGTTTTTTGGAGAGAAGCATGAGCGGGAAACATGCAACCTAGCCGTTTCCCATTCAACAGGAACTGCAAGTGATGCAAGAAAGGACTTCAAGCTCTGCTCGCCGGCAGATAATTGTCGCCCTTTCCCTGACACTCTCTGCTCCAGGTCTCAGCGCCACCTCCACCACAGCAGCCTATGCTGAATCAGCTGCTTTTGGACCCGTCTCCCAAACTCATTCCTCTGGCATCTCTGCCCAAGTGGCTCTCACCTGACCAAGAGCCACACGCCTCCCCCACCACTGGCTCCCAAGAGCATCCCAGTGAACTGCCACAGGTGTCCAAACTTTTCTCCCACCTGCTCCCTATGGTGCCCATGTCTGCTGCCTTGTTCCTCTCCCACCCAGCTGTTCTGAAGTGGTTGCAGCTGCGTGTAGGGTGGCTCTTAGACAAAGACCAGCCAGAAGTCGGTCTTCCTCTGCACCCTGCTCACTCCTCTGTTCTCCCTCATACTTCCCCCTCTGCTGCCTCGGTAATGGGGTCTATTGCTGTCCTACTCCTCAGGCAGCCCTCGGCTCCCCGTCCAGGGGCACGTGGGGGGAAAACGATCCAGATTCTCTTCTTCCTCTTGCAAGCTCTCAGTGCAGCACAGCAGAAGTGAATGCAGCAGGTGCTTGGGGGAAGAAATAGGGGAGTGAGTGGTTCATCCCATGTACACATGATGGAGGCATCCGTAAGGAGAGTGGCAGCACTACAGTGTTTCAGGGAAACTGTGTCGTCTTAAGTGACCTAGACACTTGAGGCAGGGTTGAGGGGATGTACCTTCCCCTGCAGCTCCCCGTGACCCGACCCATTCACTCCACACCAGCGGTCACATCGCCAGACCCTTCTAGGTCCCTTTGGTGCTCATCCGAAGAATAGTGGGGCAGTTCTGGAAACACTTTACCTTTTCGACTCGCAGGGGACGTCCATCTTTGTTCCACTTGACGAGGGTGACTGGTGGCTCTGCCTCAACTGGACAGCGGATGTATCCATGTATCCCAATGGGAACGTAAATGATGGGTGGCATGTTCACCACACGGGCAGGATCTGGTAGAGCAGGATAAAGTTATCGTGCGGAAAATAGGCCAACTTTTCCCTTCCCTTAACACGAAGGAAGCTCCAGGCTTTTGTTACTGCATCCTGGTGCGAAAGAGTCAACATCATTGCTATAATGGAGTTCAAAACCCAAACGCTAATCCTGCAGCATTCATTATCCCCTGATGCTAAAGACTTATCTTCAGGCCCATCATGCTCTCTAAATCCATTATAATACTAAGCATATGTATAAATGTTGTAGTGTTTTTACTATCCTAGGCCCATGGAAAAATTTTTAAAGAGAAAAAAAATTTCTCTTTTAAGATGCATATACAACACAAGTCTTATCCCCATGTCTGCTTTAACTCACTCTTGATCCAGAAGGTCCTAGATCTCTCACTCGGTTTCAACCAATCTGGCCCCGTGGCTCACAGAAACTACTGGATCAAGAAAGGGAAAATTTCCTAGTGAAGTATGCTCTGCGGAGAGAGCTCAGAGCCCAGCACATGCACCGTGGATAACAGTGACATGGAAAAGAAACTACAGAACAGGGAAAACCCAGGCTTGCTTTCTATTCCTTAAAGCCTCAAAAATTCTAGCCTAGGAAGTGACCTTAGTAAATTGGAGAGCTTTTTAAATGATCCCAGTACCAGAACCTCAAAGAAATGAAAGCTGGAGCAATTAAGAATGTAAAGAATTTTTCAGGCAAGTTATTGCAAACTATTTGCTTGCTGTTTGTTTCTGGAATCACTCAGTGTCCTATTAACATTCAGGAGAAAGGATTTCTCTGTTAAAGATTAAACATCTCCACCCTTTCAAAGATGCGAAAGCTCACAATATGGCTGAGATTCTCACCCACCCACACAAGTCTTCCAGCAACCCAAAGAACAGATTTCAAGGAGATATTTTTTTTTTTTAATTAAATGTGGGTGGGGGAGGGAACTCTAGACTTCCTTTAGAAGGAAGCAAAAAAATACCCAGTTCTTTTAAAGATATTGGCTTTAACACAAAAAAGACAAGGCGTCTTGAAAATGTATCTAAACAGTGACAGCATCAACCTCACGCAAACTCTGAACGTGAACATGCTGCATCTGCCCAGACCAGGACTTGTACGCATGAGACTTGCCCTTGTAACTTACTTGACATGCTAGAGGGTCAAGCCCCTCTATGCAGACTGAAGCACAGAATAGAAAGAGCAGACAAACCATTTTCCAGGTGTGGCATTCAAGGCACAGAGGGCTTCATGCAAAGTGCCTAATGTCACACTGCAAATTAATCTGAGCCAAAAAGTAGATCCCAAAGGACCACAAGTCCCAGTTCTCACATATGTACTTGCTCCTCTTTAAAGTTCTGCAGAGATCCAAAGCTTATTTAGGCCAATGGGAGTCTTTGTATGAATATCAGCAGCCTTTGGATCAAGGCTTCTATCCTCCAACTTCACATATGGAGGCTCCATCCCAAAAGTATGAGTGTAAATCAGGAGCCAACTGGTGACTCCTGCATTTCAAACAGAGGGGCGAGTCAAGCTGGGAGTTTCAGGACATCAAACCCCCTTCCCTCTGCCTCATCTTCAAGGGAGAATTACAGCGGAGATCCACAAAAACAATGTTACTCTGCAGTGGCCACAGAAGGGACTACACAAAGGTTTAGAAAGAGAGATGAAAACCCATTTTTGTTCAATTTCAAGTGATTCACATGGGGGTAGAAAGGCAAGAACTGAGTGTACCCGAAATGAAACTACTCCGAAGGAAAAGGAATTTTCTGTAAAAATTACCTACATCAAGGGCCCACATGCCCCCCACCCATCCAACATTTTGGAGATGCTATTTAGCTATTTCAGGCCCCCACCTGAAGCAGCAGCATACAAAAAACACAGTAATTTTTTTCTTCTTGGAGATCTGGTAACCAAATCAGATGTCTAATTCTCAGTTATATCCTCCTCCTTGACCCCATGCCGCCTCTGCATGGTTAGGCAGAGAGGAAGAGACAATTTATTTCCTTAAATAAACTCAGAGTGATGTTACGATCCAGCCATTGTCAAGGACTAGTGATAGGGGGAAGGGGAATTTATTCTGTGACAGATCTCAATGTATACAAAGTTGATAAGAAAGAATTAGTCTGTGGTATGCTGGTTTGGGGGTCTCTTTTTTCCTGTAGGTTTGATGGCCTGCCACAAGAGAAAAACAACAACAAAAGTAAAATGAAGAGATATTAAAGATTGGAAACTGAATTATTAAAGTCCATACAAGACCTTATGTTACTGGCTCCCAAACACAGCCAGAAAAACCTTCTCCCCATGAATTCTGGGCAGTGCTATTTGCAAGAAGTGAAGTTCATGTTGGTGTATGTAGGGAGTTGGGAGGGATGGGAGCTAGGTATAGAAAAAGCTTTCACTTCCCCAACCTCCTACCTCGGACATTTTGAACCCCAGTCATTTTCTCCAGCCCACCAATGAGAGTTACTGAAGTCATACAATCCTGGTAGCGATGCTGGAACGCAGACTGGAAAACCCGTGCACGTGTGGAATTGTTCTACCCTCCATACTCCAGGGAAATGTAATAAGACAGACTGGATGGCTCAATGGATCAGTGGAAGGATCCACGGCCCAAAACTTCTAGATCACTGGCTGGCATCGAATCTGGTTCAGTAACAGCCAAATGCACCAGATCCTGCTATACCCATTTGGTGCCTAAGTAGACTTCGGAGCCCAAGTGTCATCTTATTCTGCCCTGCTTTAGTCCCTGGAAATCCATTTGACCATCTAGTAGAGACTCCCTGCCCATAGAAGGCTGTTCCTGAGAATACATTTACCAGTAGTATCCTCCTCCAGAATCAGTTGGCCTTCAGGACAGAGTTTAAGGCCCATGGCTTTGTTCCAACTTTTGCCTCCACTTACTAAAACAAAACACTTCACAGTTTTAATAGCAATAAAAGGTAAAATAAGGGCACAGTCAGTACTGCAAGATGTAGCAGTTTGGGTCATTACTGCAGAAAGCTGTAGGAGGAGCAGAGATGCTACATGTGAAGATGCTGGGGGGGGGGAGGGGGTGGAGAAACATTCCCTTCAGAATCTGCTCTCTTCGTTTTGTTTACACCATTTACCTGCTTGAGTTTAACATTTTCAAAATGCAAATATATGCAGAGCAGGCAGCAACACTAACAGGGTTTTACAGTTATACACACATAAAAAAAGATAGGCAGACATATGGTATCAGGTGTCACCATCTGATATCCCCATATAATAGATGCAATTTGCTAGTAATCAAGGTTAATAAGCCCTTCGTGCCATAAGCAGGCAAGTCGGACACTGTTCTAAAAGTGTCCAGCTTTTTATAAGCTGCAGTAATATTTCTTTCTGCCCAGACATGGTAAGAGGAAAGAAGTCCCAATCTGAGGCATTTCACTTACTCCCATCACCATCTTACCTGCGCCCAAACCCCAATAAGACAGAGCCTCGCTGAGCTACCCAGAGATGATACTCAAAGTAGGCTCTATTCTGTGCTCCCAGAGATGACAGGGTTAGACAACGCTGGCCTTTCAACTTGTCTCAACATCTTCACCAGTGCCAAGTGGGTGTACAATACTCTCCTTTTGGACAGATAGTATTTACAGCCCTTCACACTGGCCTAGATAACAAGAGAAGGTGCAAAGTAGTGATAACCCAGGCCACGGGGAGAAGATCTGGGCTATTCTGTATGCGAATGCAGAGTTGAGTTTCTTTGCCTTTGGTTACATTGGAAAGCTCTGGCAGAGAGTTGGGTCAAAACCTTAGTCTTCAGAGCAACCATGGCTGCGAGTCTCAGAACTGCCTAGCACAATACAGAAGGGCAGAGGAAATCTGACCTACCCTTTATTGCAGTGAGCTGTTATCAGGGATTTCTCAGAAGTATTAACCACCCTCTAAAATACCAGATACTGGCAGTCCAATGTACTCAAAGCATCCGTTGTGTGATGCAATATGGCAAGTGTCAGGCACCACTGCATCCAAAGTAATTAACCTCAAGACTATGCCAGACAGGTCTCAGCAGATCCAGCAGTCTAATGCCATTTTAAAATCACCTTAACCCCACTCCATATTTCTTTCACAACCACCTGACTCAGTCCCTGGCAGTGACACCAACAGGAAGAAATTCTTTACAGCAAGGGTTGCAAAAACATGGAAGGGGCTTCCAAGGGTGGTGGTGCTTTCCCCTACCTTGGAGGTGTTTAAACAGAGATTAGACAAGCACCTAGCTGCGGTTACTTGACCCCAGCACTCTTTCCTGCCCAGAGCAGGGGGTCGGACACGATGATCCAATAGGTCTCTTCCGACCCTAGAAATCTATGAACCAACAAGCCAGCCAGAAAGCCTCTAGGCCTAGATGACGCTGACTTTTAGGCCACCTACTTCCCACTGCATGCTGTAGCCTACTGGCCCCAGCCCATTCCTCTCCATGAGAAGTCCAGGCTCACAAGCCTCTCTGCCTTCCTGTCTCCACTCACACTGCACTGTCAGGTAGGCAAAGGCGGATGGTGAGCGGCCAAGGCTGTTGCTAGGGATGCAGGTGTATTTCCCAGAATCCTCCGGTTTGACCCGAAAGATGATCAAAGTCCCATCAATCAGGATCCGAACCCTCAGTTTCAGGTCACTGCAGAGAAGAGAAAAAAAAGAAGGGAAAAGATGTGTGGAAGGGCTAGAAGAGAACCGGAGCGAGGAGTCAGCAGTCCGCAGCCTACCCCAGGGGAGCTACACCCCCCCGTCTGCTGCAGGGGGCTGGCAGGGTGCTCTCACCCTGCTTGGGACAGGAGGCACGTGGTGCTCCTGGCACCGCAGAAAGATGCGCCAACCTGGCACAAGCCGGAGAGGCCGCTCTGGAAAGGTAACCCATCCAGCACATGGGGATGCCCAGAACAGCAGCCCTGCTCCCGTTCCTACCAGGGTGGCATAGCATGGACCGGAGAGCAGTAACCACTCCCAACCCGAGCCAGGTGACCGAGACCCGACAGTGAGCTTACTTCTTAAAGTAGACGTTCTCCTCCTCCCAGTACCAAGTGTAAGTCAGGTTGCCCGGATACGCCTCGGCCTGGCAGGTGAACAGTGCATCCTGGGAGATGTTGACGGTGATGTTCTCTGGAGGGGAAACGATGAACGGGGGTCCTGGGGGAGAGCAGGAAACAAACAGTTGCTTCAGCAGCTGAAAGGCAGCGCTAAGCTTACAGACTTGAACATGCAGGCAGCTCTAGGAAGGACAGGCTGCAAAACATCCTCTCTGGGCAGAGGCAGGATCCTGCTCCCTCCTCTCACAGGCTCTGCCACTTGAATGCTCTCTCTATTACCTCTCTGTATTTTTTGTTTCTTTTAAATGTTATGCATCCCAGAGCAAATTAGCCAGAACTAATTCCAAATCCAAGAGTCCAGAACCATAAGTGGCCCTGCTACCAGTAAACATCCTCCACCCCATCTGGGGCTTCAGATGGTCCCAAAAGCTTTGGCCGGCATCCTACTTGCGGGACCAAGCCCAGAGACCACCGAGTTTTGCTTCCCCTCAGCCTTAAGGCCCTCAGAGCAAGCTAGGGAGAAGATTTCCATTTCCATAAAGCCGCTACACCTTGGTGGGTATTGAACCACACCAGAAGAGCCGTTCTCCCCGAGTGTGCTTTAGGAAGACTGCCTTCATGGACACAGATGCATGGTATTTCCCCTGCCAGGTTAAGAACTTGATCTGAGCCCACAAGAGGCCAAGAAGTGATACATGAACAGGCGCTACGCTTGATCTGCGCCAAGAAGGTACCTCTCCGTATATTCCAGCTGGCCTGAACGACTGCCATACTGGCTCCCCTGTGCGCACAAGCTTGGCTCCAACCCAGAGCTCTGCCAACACAATTGGGTCAGTGATAGAGCCCTTCACTCCGGAGCAAATATGTTTAGGCATGGCCCTCCGAGAAAAGGGATAAGAGGGTGGCTAGCACTATACGAGGGAGGGATGCTGTACCTTTAAAGCAAGCAGGGAGGGACTGTGAGCTCTGTTGTAAGACAATCATGCAGCAGCAGTAAAGGGGAGGGGAAGTGAGCCTGGAACAGGGTTAAACTTTAAGCTTGGAGGCTTATGCTGCTGTCTGGATGGTAGGACAGCATGTTCTGCTAGCAGCTCTCCCACCCTCCCGCAGGCCTCTGCAGAAGGGCAGAGTTCAGAGTATGAACTAAACACTCAGTCCTCAAAGACGGAGGAGAGGGGAAGGAGCAGAAGATGAGCTCAAAGGAGGTAGGGAACACAGGCTCCTGAGCAAGGCGGGCTCTCGCCACACTACCCGGGTGGGGGTAACCCAGCTGGACACCCACACATCTGCTGCAGCTGCCATGCTGAAGATACTGCTCATTACTGCAAGAGAGGGCTCATTACGTGCCCTCTGTTCACCTCCCCATGCACACAACTTGCTCCCACACACCTCTCCTTCAGCCTTGCATCTTTCCAGCACCCAGCTCAGTTGCTTCTAACTCCAACATCAGCCAAGGTGAAAGAACGCTTCTCTATAGTCCAAGCAATGCAGTCCAGCACCCTGGGCTCCTGCATTGTATTCCCTGCTATGCGGCCACATGATCCCGCAGTCAGAGCAAAACTGGAAGTCAGGACTCCAGGGTCCTATTTCTGATTTTGCCACTGGGTGAGCTTGAGCAAAAAAAAAAAAATAAATAAATAAAAATCACTTAGTCTCAGTTTCTCATCTCCATCCCTGCCTTGCTGGTCCATTATCAGCTACACAAGTGCCCCAGCATATACTGCTTAACACATCTGCTAACACAAGGCATTTTCCCAGTGCAGTTATGGCCTGGGGGTAAAAGCCAGAGGAGCAGCAACCTGCCTAGGCTGTGGCAAGGATTAGTTAATGTCTGTTAAACCCTTTGAAGGTGGATAGAGCTGTATAAGTAGAGTGTCACCCACGGGCTCAATAGGTGTGAAATGCCTTCCCTTGCAGCAAGGACTGACCCAGCAGACTCACACAAGGAAACAGAAGCAGGTTTCCTGGAGAAAGGGCCCTGCATGTGTTGCTTTCATTGCACACAGCACTTCATGGCTTTTTAAAATCTTTCCATGCTTCTTAAACAATCAATCAACACCTCTGTTAAAAAAAATTGGGACAACTGCTTAATCAGGATGACAGGCTGTCCACTGGGGTGTCCCAATTAAGTGGATTTTTCTGTGGTGTGAAAGGCTTTCGGAGCCATTAGGCACTCATACAGCAGCTGTGTGCCCCACACAGACACAAGTGCACACACAGCTCTTTCTACGCAGGCAAGGGCTGTAGGTTCCTTTCCGGCAGCAACACAACGCTCGTTAATGAGCAAGCGTGGAGCCCTCCGGAAAGTGACTGCTCCGTCCCACAGTGACACATCCTCCATACAGTAGGAATTAAAAGGACGCGAGCCTGAAACAAGTTCTCAAGCATTTTCATAATGTGGATCACATGTGAGCCATGAGACTAGATGGAAGTGGGTCATCTCTCTCATTGACATAACTTCCCTGTGGCAACTACAGCAATTGCTTATGGGAAAGATAATATTAGGAAAGTACTTATTTGTCTTTAGCATCTTCTAATGCAATACAGCAGCTGGGAACGAGAAGGACCCAGCACCATGTGCTCAGCCATGTCTTCCCTTAACACCAAGTGCTCTATTGACCACAGGTTTCAACACAGCTACCCTAGGAGACTGGCAGTGGCTTCCTACTAGCACAAGGCTGTCCCTGTTGGGGAAATGCACTGCATATTATAATTTTTTAAAGTTTCTGGAGCAGGGGTGCTGATAAAAAAATTCCAGGGTACAATGACACCTTTTCTCCCCCTAGAGTTTAACCATGCTCCTTTAAGATACAGGATGGACACTAAAAACCTGTAGGTGTTGTGTGCCATTTTCCAGGCAGGTTGCAAGCTGCTGGCCTTCCTACCACTTGGGGGACCATCCTGATTTTGCCACTTTCAAACCTAGTCAGTCCAACTGTGTGTCACATTAACCAGAGTCCTTAGGGCAACCCAATAATAGGTCCTCACCTTAATGCACCCCTCAGCTAGAGTGGCAAGTCTTTCATAGAAAAGGGTAAGTGCCATTAAACCTATTTAGATAGGGAAATGGATGCCCGGGGAAGGTGTGGCTTGCCTAGCATCACAAAGGGATTTGGTTGCAGAGCCAGAAATAGAATAAGGGTTCTGGCTCCCAGCTTGTAACCTGCAC